TCAAGGTATAATATTTTTGAAGTAAAAAATGCTGCGAGATAGACCCACTTTCATTCGTTTGTGAGAAACGAAGCCAATGGTTTTACTTTAGTGCATTGATTCAAGGCGGTAGTGCTATACAAAATACAGCTGTATTAATTGTACACAGAGGTGTTCATGGTTCGATTTGGATCGATTTCTTCCTAAAAAGAAATCAAACTAAGTAAATCAGTTTTTCAAATATTTGAACCAAACCAAACCATTTAAGTCGATTTTTTCTCGATTCGGTTTATATCGGTTTTTCGGTTTTTTCGGTTATTTGTCGGTTTTTTCTTAAATATAAGACATACACTACCAAACATACATTTCGGCGACCACATTTTCAACGTAACACTATCAAATCAATTGCCCTTTGAGAAATTTATTATTTACCAAGATATATTGATGATAATTGAAACAAATAGTGATGAATAATTTAAGGACTCAATTAAAAATATATTATTTTTAACATGAAATAGATTCTTAGACTTAACAAAAGAAAACTACCAATTAAACTAAAATGTAAAGGTAAAGAACTGTACTAAAAGTGCAAATGATTAATATTTACTATAAAAATTTTAAAACTTTGTACAAAAGTATACATATATATAGGTGTAATAATAAATTTAAAATAGCTACTCCTATATTCGGTTTGGTTCGATTTTTTTTAATTAAAACCAAACCCAAACCAAATTTGATCGGTTTTTAAATTTCAAAACCAAAACCAAACCAAACCAAAAAGTATCGGTTTTTTTGGTCAGTTTGGTTTGGTTTTCGATTTGGTTCGAATTTTCGAATTTTTATGAACACCCCTAATTGTACAATTGCAGAATTCAAATGCAGCTAGTGATGTATAATAAATGAATCTAATTAATCTATATCTATACCTATACTAATTTAAAAGCAGGAAGGCCCTTAGCGAAATGTCGTTCGCCTTTTTTACCGTTTAAAATTTGATTTCACACTAGACAAAATAATCATTTAATTATTTTCCTAATATTTAAGTATAGACATTTAATTAATTTTCTAATAATTAGGACTTCAAAGCCAATTAAATTTAACATATTATATTCTTCCTTATTTAAACTATATAATATCACAAATTTGTGAAAGAAAAAATAAATAACCGGCAATCAATTCCTCTTAGTTTTAGGAGTCAATTTCGTCTCTCTCAACTAAAATTTTGACTTAAACATTTGTCATCATGATTCCAAATAATTGGATAGCTATGTTACAGTGAGTAAGTCAATAATTTTATTATCTGAAGTCAAGTATTCTTTTAATCTAATTTTTGTTAGTTGTGCATTTGCTAAGATGATTGAATTTTGAGTCCATAATTAAATTTGTATTATATGAAACTATTAAGACATTTTCAGATTATATTTTAAATATCTTCTACTAAGAAAAATAATTTTTATTCTTCAGCTTTTTTGTATAATATCTAAAAATTACAATCAGCACTTAGAATAAATTACAGAGAAAATATCTATATCTAACAATATAAAAGAGAAAAAGAGAGAAAGATGATCGATAATACTAATAGTCTCACACACAAAGATTTACTATTCATTAATATCTTAACCTTTAAAAATAGAATTCTTAATATCATATTCTTCTTAGAATATGAGGTTGCTAGGATTCCCCGAAAGATTTATAACTTGGGTGATGGAATGTGTTAAAACAGTGAACTATACTATTATGGTGAATGGAGAGTCAATAGATCCTTTCAATGCTAAGAAAGGACTTAGACAAGAGGATCCTATGTGTCCATTTCTATTTGCAATTGCAATGGAGTACTTAAGTCCAACCTTAAAGGAAATGGCAGAGAGGAAGCAGTATCATTATCATCTCAGATGTGCCAAATTAAAACTAACTCATTTATATTTTGCAGATGATCTTTTAATATTTTCTAGAGAAGATGTTGAATCACTGAGGTTCTTTAAAGTTTTAATCAATTTTCAGATGCCTCAGGATTGCAAGCAAACATAGGGAAAAACTCCATTTATTTTGGAGGGGTGGGACAACAAGACCAAGAGCAGATACTGCAAACACTGGGATTTACGAGAGGAATGTTACCTTTTAAATACCTGGGAGTTCCACCGTCAACTAGAAAGCTAACAATAATACAATGAAAGCCCCTCATTGAGAAGATTATAGCAAGAATCACTTCATGGACAACTGATAATAGGTGAATTTAACTATATTCAGGCCCTAAATAACCGCCTTCTTGCATAATTTTAATAATAATAAAAGTGATAACAAAATGCTCTTATTAGTGCTTTTCATGATTTGCATGTTATATATGACTAGGGAAGGCTAGAGAGCACTTTTGGAGTAAAAAAAAATGAAGAAAGAGAGACCAACCGTGAAATGTCCCAAGTGAACCACGCAAAAACAGGCTGAAGAATCAGAAAAATGACTCTGTCGCGGTTCCACCGCGACCGCGGCAGAACCGAGGTGAAGGATGCTCGCGGACACAAGGAGATTCAGAGGAGCTGTTTGGCCGCGGTTCCACCGCGAACGCGGCAGAACCGCGGCAGGCGCGAGAAAAGTGCAGGGACTAAAGTGCAAACACGAGATTTTTANCTCGGGAGAGATTTATGGTAAGACGAGTGTTCATGATTGATAGAGAAGTGTTGGTACATTTGTATGAAGCATAAACAAAAGGGATTCCATCAATAGGGGAAATCTTTACCTTAGCTTTATCTCATCATTGTTTACAACCTTAGCGTTTTAGTTTACAGCCTGTTTAATTTACTTGCAATCTTAGTTACTAAAGAAACCATCAACTTGTGATTCAAACATTTGGGAAGCTGGTTCTGAAGAGTTTAGTGGGTCTAAAGATTGTGATTGATAGGTTAACTCTCTGTGGGATTCGACTCCGGACTTGTAAACCGGATCATATTTGCAACGACTGCATTGTCCTTTTTACAAGGCATAGTTGGGCGTGATCAACAACCAAAAAACTGTCATATGCAGGAAGAAGTCAATTGATAAGTAATGTTTTGTTTGGAGTCCAGTCCTATTGGGCCCAATTGTTCATATTGCCAACAAAGGTGATGAAAGCTGTGGAAAGTTTTTGTAGAAGCTATCTTTGGACAGGTACAATGTCATTACAAAGAAAGCACTAATCAATTGGGAAAGAGTATGTTGTCCTAAAAGCAGTGGAGGATGGAACCTCATTAATATGAGAATCTGGAACAAGGCAGCCATAATCAAACTGTACTGGAATTTGGCAAAGAAAGAGGATAGGATGTGGATAAGGTGGATTCATGCATACTATATAAAAGGACAACAGATAGAGCAAGTAAAAGTTCCACAACAAGCAAGTTGGATGGTGAGGAAAATAATAGAAGCCAAACATCTACTAGAACAGAACAATGTACATATTTGCATGGAAAAAGGGGTCATTAAACATATATATATATATATATACCTTCAGCTATTAGGTGATCAACCAAGAATGTCGTGGAAGTGTTTGATGTTTGAGAATGCTGCAAGGCCAAAAGCTAAGTTCACTGTGTGGTTGCAAATGCAGAATATGCTACTTACTGCTGACAGGTTGAACAAATGGGGAATGGAGGTAGAAGGCAAATGCAGGTTATGCCAGAGAGAAGAGGAAACAAGAGACCATCTCTTTGTGGAGTGTGATTATACAAAAACAGTGATGCAAAAGCTGATGCACTAGACACAGAATCAAGGTATAGCAGCAGCTACCTGGGACCAACATGTGCATGAGGTGATCAAGAGAGCTAAAGGCAAATCAAAAGAAGCTCAACTATTCAAGATGTTATATTCTGAAGTAGTACATAGTATATGGATTGAGAGAAACAGAAGGATTTTTGAGAAAACAAGTACAACATGGGAGAGGATAGCCAAAGAAATAGCTTGTGTTTGTTGTGTACAAGCTCCTCCTAGATTAGCTGATATAGTTCAAAGATATAGATTTTAAAAAATAGGAAGAGTAAGAGCATCATGTAAATATGATAGTTTTAGTTGTGTTAGCTAGCTATGGTAATTTGTAAAATTTACTGGTGATTAATAAAAAGTTAGTTACCAAAAAAATAAAAAAATAGAATTCTTACAAGATAAATTTATAATTATGTAAACACTTAAAAATTGGGATGGGCTAATATTAAGAATTTGAATCAATAAATACAAATAATTTTCTTTAATATTGAGAATAAATAATTAAGTATTTGAATTAACTAATTAGCAAAAAATTTAATTTATTATTTTTCTAACTCATCATACAAGTAAAATTATTTTTAAGTAAGCACAACTCAGAATATATAAATTTATTTCTAAAATAATAGCACTGCAGTGAAAGAAATAATTAAATTTTGCAAAATCACTTATACTATGATATTAGAAGTTAAAATAATTAAAATACAAGCTCGAAGGAATACATAAATAGAACACACACGCAAAGCACGTACTTTAAAGCTAGTATATACAAAAGTGTAAAGAATTTTGAACCTCTGTAGTATGTACCTCTCTCTTTTCATTTTTTATTATTGTGAAGGGAAAAGAAACATGTCCATTACTTCGAATTATCACGAAAAGAGAATTCAATAGTAGATGATACCTCGACCAACCAGATCCGAGGAAAGAGAGAGAGTTAGCCAGAAGATGAGCTGAAGTATTATCTGGTTCGTTATAAATAAAAAATTAAAACTTTTATCAGTAAGGTGAACACCATAAACACTAGACGTTCTTCTAACATGCCTTCAAAAATTGCAGTCTCGAGGTAACCGAAATTCCTCTAACATAGTGAACCACAGGTCCCTGATGGACCAATGTATTCCTCATCGGCATTAATACATTTATCCAAATATTTTAGCCTTACTGCAACATGAATCGTTGAAATCATGGCTTGTTAGGGTAGCATCTTTTGACGAATCTACTACTCCACTAATTAACCAACCTTAAAACCCTTTTAGTAAGTCAATCATTTAAATTTTCCTAAGAATCAGTCCAAATAAAACGAGAACTTGCCTTGGTAAACCAAGTACTTCCAGGGTTCAGCCAATTAACTGTTTTGTTAGAGTGGAAAGTTACAGAGACTAATTACAGGGCTCCACGTTAGCTCCTTGAGAACCAATTCCAGCAAAAGGAAAAATGCACCTACCTAAAGTGGGATTTTTAGGAAGAAGCTTTCCAGAAGATTCTGAAAGCAAAAACATCGCATCACAGAGGACTGACTATTCCCGACTAGTTTTCTCTTCATGTTTGCCTGAGGAATGGCAACATCATAAATACAAAGTGCTTTTGGACACAGATTCACAAGGAACAACCCACCCTGTTTCCTCGTCATTCGACTATGTGGACGCTGGAAAAGATGTTACCTCCCAGACTTTCTGGTGCATGAAAGCAAATTAGACAGCTACTGTTCCCCGCCATCCAGTTTTCACTCTTTGGCATCTGAATAGCAAAAAGAACGTGTTACAGACTTGACGACTTTAAAAATCTCATATAGTGCAAAAGACCACTTTCCAGAGCTAGCAACATATATTTTTATGCTCTTTTTTTTGTGTGTGTGTGAAGTAAATAGCTTCATTGATGGCATTAAGAAGAATTTCTTTTTATACTTTTTTCTTTATATTTTGGATTGTGAGGTTGAATGGAGCTTGAAGTTCGTATAATTATAAGAAAATTACATGCAAGAGAAATGCGCAAGAATAATAAGGGAAAATAAGGAATTTAGTAGTTAAAATACAGATACTTGTCATGAAATGACATCTAGCAAAGAACAATCTACTTGACAAGAATGACGAGTTCCTACACAAACAAGGAAAAATATACTATCAAGGGCCATTATGTCACTATCCATTCAGTTAAATTGTATGGATAGTAGGTATATATCTTTACTTATAACCAATCACCAATTTAAGAGGCATTTGGCCACTCGCAAGGTCCCCGAGCTCCCATGCAAGAGATGTTGGTTCACTCAAAAGGCAATAACGTTCTGTCAACGGCACATTGATTCGGAGGAATCTCATGCAATTTCCTTTTTCTTAGTCAAGAAATCTCATCCAATTTCTTGATTAAGAGGTTGCAATGCAGAGTTTGTGTTATCAACCAAATCACACAATAAAAACGACAATTGTTTTAAGGTTTAAACCAACATTAACTTGTTGCGCGACCTAGGAAAGTTTGAAGTCTTGATAGATCCCTAAAACTTGAATGAACTAATTAGAGAGGCAAATACAAGAATTTCCTTGAAACTTGAAATTAGAAAACCACTAAATATGGTTTCCTGAAAAACAAAAACTCACCTTTGTCATTGAGAAAAGTAGAAACTCTCGCATTCATTTCGATATTGTTAGTCATTATACCAGTTGGAGCACGTGCAGCAGATAGTCTAATTGTGGGAGGGGAACAAGTGTTGCTCCTACTTGAGAGCTCATTAAGGGTATGATTTCCAGTTTGATGGTTCACATAGATGTCCGAGCTAGCAGACGAAGACATTCCTATCTTTCTCTTGCTCTTGAACCTTCACCTAACAGAGATGTGAGATACTGAAAAAGGAACAGAAAGCAGTACAACTGTTCTCGTGTCTTATTTCCATTTTGATCTCGAGCAGTTTAGTTATTGCAGTACCTGTCTTTCCGCTTCTCAAGATATCTTTGTACTGATGCTTTCCTGCTTGGGTGGCCTTCCACTGCTTCTGCATAATTGGTTTTTGAGGGATGGGAGAGAGAGAAAGATATAAGAAAGAAATTTATGGAGAAGTAGATTGCTTTGACTTCAAGTCTTGCATTAATTAGAGGGCATTCAACAATAGTGCATTGACAAAAGAATAAAAGAGTTGCAGATCGATCTTCTTAACTTTAGGAAATCCTTTCCTAATATAAAATATCACAATGTTGCCATAGAAAATGGTCAGGTTATGATGTGGGCTCCATGATTCTGTTAAGAGTAACCAACTGATTCTATTAAAACAGTGGTTCACAGGAGAAACGACATTGTTAAATCTTCTAGTCTGCAGACCTTTTGTTTGTAGATAAGTATCTTCTAGTCTGCAGACTGTGTTATGCAATTCAATTCAAATGCAAAACCTGATTTATGGAAGAACCTTCAGCACATCAGTCGTAAAATATCCAGGCAACAGCTGGACTCGTTATCTTTTCCTCTAGTTTTTTTTTCTATTTTCTTGTAATGATGATGTTCGGGCCAGCTTGCGCAAAACTTGATTATTCTACCGTGTACCTGCTACCTCACACCAACACAAGTATCGGATACTCCTCCAACTCAGACTAAGGCAGATGGAAGAAATCACCCTGGCATTTTTTGTTTTTGCTGGGATTTGAACTTGGTCTCTAAGGTTTTGACCTACTTCATTAACTGCTAAGCCATACCCTTGGGTGCTCCTCTAGTTTTCAGGCACCACTTCAATAGTTTGGTAGCTTGTGGAATTTCGAAATTTCCATATAAATATAAAATCTGGTCAGGATGATAAGTCTAGAATTATAAAGAGTAGTAATTTATCTTCTTTTTTTAAAATAAGTTAATGAGTGGTAATATCTAAACAATGACAAGTTTTGCCGTATCTTTTCCTCTGATTTTCAGGTATGATGCTGCAATAGATAAATTTTAATGCAAGCTAGAGGTCAGCAAGGCCAGTTAACATGGAGAAAGAAAGCCATGGCCTCACACCACCCTGGGGAAAGGGGGGGGGGGTTTACACTAGATGTGGCTAGATACTGAAAGCCAAAGATTGTGACTCTGACATTAACATGGTCCAGTAGGCCCAGAATGAAGTCCTTTCATGAGAAAGTTGATATCTTCATGCAGTGACCTCAGCTTGATACTTAAGAAGCAAAATTATCCAACAAAGAATGGCAGGGATAAATAGAAACACCAATTACATTGCTCAATTAAACTAAACACAAAAGACTCTAATAAGTTTCAGCAAGGTACAATGAGAATTCCCCCCCCCCCCCNGAATATGTTTTGTAACACAAGGACACACCACGTGGAGATTCAATGAAAAGTTACTTTTCATAGGAAGCCGTAATCTAGATGTAAATTCATATTCATATATGAACTTTGGGAAGAGGAGGGGGAGCGTGGGAAGAATCAAATTTATCAGCACAATCAAGTGCTTTACAGGTTATTTCTGTTTTTCGATTAAACTTTAAGCACATGCCATCAAAATCCCCAAACACATGGACTAGTGCATTCATATTCTTCAATCTCCAGCATTAACCAGCAAGAAACAAGATAGAACCTGTTTGCATGGTTGGCATGAGCACCATACCAGAATCTGGACCCAGTTTAACACTTGAAGCTTGCAAACGGCATTCGGAGTGTCGAGCTGCTAAGGTAGCACCCAGTGGAGTTTCTGAAGGCATGCAGAGTGGAGTTGCAGCAAGATGCATGATTGCTTGTGCCTGAAAATACGCCAGTGACCACAAAAGGAACCAAAATAGTGAATCGTCGACATTAATTCGCTGTAGTTCTGATGTGCATCATAGCTTAAACTACCTTTTCAGCGGGCACATCATCGTACACATTCACCTTGCCACAATAGAAGATTGTCAATTGACTTGCTGGTGTGTTTCCCAAATCTGTGGTTCTGGATTCACCAAGACAAGGGCAATTAGCATTTGAAGTTTTGAACTAAATATAATGGAATTTCAAGAAATCTCAGTCTGTAAAGGCGCATGCACTGGTAGAATCACAAGTTGCCTTAGGATGCCATCTTCAATAGAATGGTTTTTAGCATAATGTAAACTACAAGAGCAGAGGAAAAATCAACTACATAAAAGCAGAAGAAAAAAAATAAGAAGTAAATGTGAACAAAGCAATTTTAATGATTTGTAGGAAACAGAGGAAGAATCTTTCCAACAAGCCAAAGGGTAAATTAATAAATGTAGAAGAATATATGGAAACGAAAATATATACTTAGGAAAGAGATGACTAGAAGACTTAAATCGAAAACTACAAATGTATACAGTACAAGAAATATGTTGTTCTGAGCTGCATTATTATCTTCCAAGTTCTCACATGATAGCTGTGGAACCATTGAAGTCATACTTTAAGCTACTGCAAGAAGCCTAAGGGTTTTGGTTGAGGCAGTTGATACAGCATAACTCCAAATGATAAACCTTTCACTAAAAGTATCCCTAGTAGCACCCAGTCCATGCTCTTCAACATTTTTCAACTGTACATATTGCTCTTACCCGCAACACAACAAGCTCTATAGGAGTAAGACTGCGGTGACTCTCTGGGATCTCGCAAGTGGTTTAAGTTACTCCGACACGGCAGTTTAGGTGCCACAGCCGTGACAACACGACACTAGTATGGGTGTCAACACGACACTATTTTGGGTACTTTGACCACGACAGACGAAAAAATTCGAGACGAGATACAATTTGATTCCTGAAATCAGAACTAAAACTAGGGTAAATTTGAAGAAAGTAGCATACTTTATCTAGGAAATTCAATCCTTTACTTATCTATTGCTTGAGAATTAAAAAAAAAATCCATATTACAAGTTATACGTAAGTATACCACAAAATTTCTCATAATTTAGAGATATTTTTATTTTTTTGATTTATTTTAGCTGGATCCCCGCACTCGTATCCGTATTAGGATCCGTATCCACGAATCTTAGAATTTACATTTCGAAGGATCCGACCTCTAGATCCGCACCTGGTTGGATACCCGCACCTGTGTCCGAGCAACTTAGCCGGTGGTAGTAGAATTTGGGACACAACCAAAGAAGTACGAACAACTCTGTAAATGAGATGTAGTACCCGAAATAAAATGTACATGGGCAAGTAAAAATCTCTTAATGCAATGCAAAATGCAGTCAAAGCCCTGAAAGACTTAAGCTCTCAAGCTAGACTAAATTTAACGGGCATGAGTATTTACTTGCTTGTCAAATCATCCAGCACAATTCTTGCACATCTTTTACCAAACCAGTTCAAGGACGGACAGGCAAATAAGCGAAGCATTCCATATCAGCCACTCAATTAATATTTCAGGGGTACAAAAGTTCAACTATTAGCTAGGGTTTGGCCATAGATTTTGGCTTCACTTTTTTAAAATAAAAATAAAAACATTGTGTATTTATGAAATATGATAATGTATTGGGGGAAAAATTTAAAAAAAATTCAAGTTACCAAAAACTACCCTTTTTTTTGCGAATTTTTTTCGCCCACTCACAAAACTTCAGCTTTTCTTCAAATAAAATGCATGTCCAAACACAACTTCAACTTTCAAAATTATTTTCCAACACCACTTCAAAAAATCTTTTTTCTAAGTTTCAACCAAATCTGACCAAAGTATAGCTTAGTATTCATTTGGAACAAAGCGTCTCAAATTCAAACACCTTATTTATTTGTAACAAAAAAGTAAAACGCCAGCCTTTCAGGATATAAAAAGGCTTAATTAATTACATAAAACCAGTGGACGATACGATGATTCACCTAGAAGGAGCTAAGTTATTGCCGGCGGCAACGGCAACTGAACCGGCAGCTATATCACCTGGAATATCAGGTTTTTTCGGATGTTTTCTTCCGTATGGCACCGTCCCTTCAGCCGATTCCGAAAATCCTGCATCGGTATCCGTTCCTTTCTGGACCTACATTAGTTTCATATAATCAACAATTACGTGCTTAAACATGCACTGTTACGTTCACAATATGAAATTAAGTGAAATGGAAACGCACTTGTTGTACTCTAGTGTCTGGGCGAGGAATGTGAAGTTTTCTCCGAGGGCTGGTGTCAGAATCCGGCGTCGTCTCGAGAAGCGCCTTCAGTGAAATCACCTGCTGAATCGCCTGTGATTTATTCCATGATGGCCTTCTCATTCCTGTGCAAAAATATATTAAGATATATTCTTCAGATGTTTTTTTATTCGATTCTCGATTTTCGAAGCTCCTAATTTTTTAATGTGCTAGCAGAGGGAGGGGGAAAAGAAATAGAGAGAGAAAGAGACCTTTTTCTTTAAGGTAACGGCGGCAATCTTCGCGAGTGAGCTGAGAAATGTCGTCATCAGTAAGCAGGTGGAGAGGTTTGTCCAGAGGTGATTTGGAAACTGTTTCTTCCGGCGGCATGCTGCTAAATTCAGGTTAAAATCGCTATAATTTCGCCGGAAAATCGGCAATAGAAGATACCTGAGGTTGACGCGTTGAGCGTGAAGTGAGTGAGTGGGACTGAGCTGACTGAGTGGTACCGGCAGTGGAATTCGAGTAGTTACGGAAAAATAAGCCGCGGCGTTGCCGCTTAGATTGTTGCTTTTTGTTTTTGGCGTAACCCATTTGGGGGAGGCAAGCCTGCAACCCCAGGTTGCCACGTAATCAGGGATGTCATTATTGAAAAGGGAGATAGCCCCATCTCATCTTTCGAAATTGGTGATGCCCTTTGGCCCGGGGGTGGGGGTCCCCTTATTACCACCTCTACTTCGCAGGCTACTTGTCCCATCACATAGTATTCTATATTCAAAACCTATCTACCTACGCCAAATTCAAATTTCACTTATTGACTGTTTGGCCAAGCTAAAACTCCGTTCATTTGGAGGAGTCCTTGCTCCAAAATACTTTTGGAAAGAAATAATTTGTGCTTAATTAAACAATATAAAAATACTTTCGAGAAATAATTTGTGTTTGACTAAATTTTTTAAAAAATATTTTTAAGTATCTATATTATTATAAAAGCATGAATACAATGTCGGTTTACAAAAATAACCTTATAATATTAAGCATAATAACTCATAATAAAAAGGCACAACCGAAATTCTAGATATTAGTCTTCTAATCCTATTAGTTTTAGGACAATACTACACGTTAGAAATTCTACATGATTAACTTTAGGAATCCTATTAATATAATTACTTTCGGTATGTCTAATTCATATAAAATTGAACAATCAAAATCCTTTCATTGACCTAAATTTCGGAATCTCTTTTCATGCGTTAGGTCATATAGATGACACATGATGGTTTTGCATGTATGACGTAATATATGTCAGTTATACAATTAAATATTTTTAGTCTGTAATCCTATTACTATTAGGTAGATTTGTCAAATGGGCCGGGTCGACCCACGAATCGGCCTACATAACCCATTAAAATTGACCCTTTAACCGGCCGATGACCCACGAAATTCTAACCGAACCAACCCATTAATTTAAGGGGCCTGGGCCGGGCTATAATATTTTGACCCACTAAACCGGACCGNTTTTCACTTTTATTCTAATTGGTTCAAGGACATTTAATAATTTCAAGTTCGTATATATGTATAAAGTTTGAAATTTTATCAATTATTAGTTTTTATCCTTTTTTAATTAAATTGGATTCAGTCCATTAGGGCCCGGGTTAAGGGATTACGGGTTACGGGCCCGGGTTGGATCAATATATTTTGATTAATGGGTCGAATCCGGATCGGCCCCTATAAAAAAGTGAACCGGACCAGCCCGGTTAAGGACCCAAAGGTCAAGAGTCAATAGATTTGGGTCCGGATCGGGTCGACCCATTTAACAGGTCTACTATTAGGATATACTTCTTAAGAATTCCTATTAGTAATTTAATTTAAAAACGCATTATAATGTCCTATTACTAATTTAGTTTGATAATGTATTATATTGTCCAAATCTATTTAGAAAGGAGACTATATTATTCTAAAAGCATAACTACAATATTAATATACCAAAATAGCCCTAAATTATTAAGCGAAAGAACTCATAACGAAATGACATAACTGTAATAACTTATTTTTTGGACTATAATACCTTCTATGCTAATTTTTAATATTTAAAATTTTAAAATGAATAAAATTTTGTCTATTAAATTCTTATTAAAAATAAAAATTAATTTCATAAGAATCCTCCATATTGGCAATACATTACCACTCTATAATGTCCAATACCAAGAAAAAATAAAAGTAATATTAAAATGGACTGCATAAGAGTTGAAATTCAGAAAAAGATACCCCCGCGTTAATATATATTTATTTTATATTTAAACTATTTTTCTACTCAAATAATATATTTTAATAAATTTTTCGTATAATATTGAAAAATACCAAATTATTAAACAACAATTAAGAAAATATTTAAGAATATAAATGTGTGATAAAGAGAAAAAATAATGATTGATAAAAGTCAATACCACTAATGATTCTACATGCATAACGATCTAAAAGTGAAATGTCAAATCAATATTTTACTCTTTGAAAATAAAATTTATGGTGGATAAAATTATAATTAAGGTTAAATAGTCAAACCAAGAGATGAACTAATATTAAGATTTGAATCAACATAAAATAAATTATTTTTTATGTTAAAGCCAAATAATTAAAATTTTAAATTAATTATTTAGCAAGAGAATCTAATTCAATTATTTTTTAAATTCATCATATGAGTAAAATTCTTATTCAAATTTTAAAAAAATCTTAGGGTACATAAATTTATTCCACAAAAAGACCATTAGAACACAAAATAAAAAGAATAGTATATTATTAAGAATCAAAATGCTATACAAGTGTCTGAGGAAGCACAATCAAAGCTAAATCCTAATCAAGAACAGGATTTCCAAACTATATTATAAAGAGTCGACTCTGGTATAACGAGATTATTCTTTGTATATGCCTCCGGCGGAATCGAAATAATATTTCTATGTCATGTATTACTTGCAAATATTATATTAAGAGACATGACACTATTAACAATAATAGCAAGTTGTGTACCAACAACAATTTTATTGTGAGGATTTTAGATTTGATATACCTTTTCAAACAATTTAAATAATCATCACAAATATATCAAAGCAGAGCAATGGTGCTAAATTTATAAGGAAAGTAAAATTGATAATATGGGATGAAACACTTATGACTAAGTATCAAACGATCGAAATAATTGCTTAGAGTTCTAGAGATATATTAGATATTAATGAACCGTTTGGTGAAAAATTAACGGGTTGGGAGGTGATTTATATACTAGTAGTTTCAAAATCGACAAAAGCTGAGACTATAAAAGCTATCTTGCCAAAGTTATACTTCTGGCCTCAAATGAAAAAGATTCAACTGACAAGAAATATAAAAGCAAGAACATAATATGTCCATCATGCTACTGAAAAACTTAGATACGCCGAATAACTTATGTAATAACACACAGATGGTATATAGAAGTTTTGACAATAATGACATACATGCAAAAATTATGATACGGGTCAATGTGCTTCTAAGTATATTCTTATCACTGAATTCAACTTTTGTCTTCTGAAACTAAGGAATATCTTTTTAAATTTGTGTGGAAATAATTTTTAGTATGTTTATGTTTTGCAAATATAATAAATAAAGTACAAGGACAAACATCTTAAATATTGGACTATATTATCACAGTATATTTTCTTGCACGAACAACTGTATGTTGCACTTTCAAAAGGGATATCAAGATCGGCAACAAGAGTTATGGTTAAGGCATAGCAACCAAAGCATTAGGAGAAAACATATACGGAAAAAAAAAATTATCCACAAAGAAGTATTCGTTAATATGTCATCACATTAAATACTTTTAAACTATAGTACATAATTATCTAACTAACATGGCAAAATTGATTATTTATGTAAGTTTTAATGATGTTCTTTTATTTTAAATTCATGTATTATGCTAATGTAATAATATTTTTCGGCATTGATGATTGTTGTGTTATTAAACATAAAATTTCTCTCATAATTAAATTTTATTATTCGTTCATATAAATAAATGTTTAAATCATTACGTATCATTATTAACGTGCAATGCACGTTCATAGATACTAGTTAAATTATAAATAAGCACATAAAGAGATTTACTTAACAGTTAATAATAAATAAATAAATAATCTCAAATATTTGTTATTAAAGATAATAATTAAGTTTTTTTATTTTATTTAAGTAAAACATGAAAATAAAATTAATAAGTACTTTAATTCTTTCAAGATGATTTAAATATATCAAAAAATTATTCATCATATTATACATTAGGAGAATTCTCAGTAATATAATCTCTAATTTTAAGTATTAGATTTAAAATAAGTAAGGTTATTTTCGTATAAATTATATTTTGCTAAGGGTATTTTTTGTAAGAAAAAAAGTTAAAACTGTTTCTTCCCAAAAACACTTTCCCCTTCCTCCCCCAAACACTTGAGTTAAAAAAAAAGTAATTTGAAGGAGGAGGGGGTACTTTTGGCTTTGGAAGAAGTTTGACCAAACAAGCTATTATTCTATATAGTGTTTAGGTTAATTTGTATAAATTATTCACCATTTTCTATCAACACATATAATTAAATGTTAAGTGTTTGTAATTTTGTTCACGAGGTCTTAAGGTGATGAGAATAGCTTTTTTATTCTTTACTGAAATTTGAATTTGGTGTTTAATGTTTGCACTCATTTCATTGTTTATCACTTTATCTAAATTTGCATTAAGTTAGCTCTTTCAATAGTACGAAGTTCTTTTTTAAAGCTCGAATTCAAAATCACTAAATAAGGGTAGAATGATGCCAGCTGTTTCACTAAATTCTTTGGTGATTTTTGTAACCTACTCGTTTTGTAGGCTTGTAGCAGTATGCGTCACTTTCTAAGAACTTGTCTTTCATAATTTTACGTGGAAACAGTGTCACTGATCTTATTATTATTTATGTTACTACTTTTTCTTTTTAGTTAGCTATGAGCCATAGATTGTTAAATTTGTTTTGAAAAATTTAATTTGAGTAAAGTTTGGTTTGAAGATGAAAATATGTTTGGACATCAGTTTTCAAAACATATTTTACCTTTTGTTAAAAAAAAATAAAACATGATTTATGTCCACAAGTTCTAAAAACTATCACAAATACCCAACAGTACTTTCATCAATAACATTCATTATCATTATCACAAACCATATTTCTGAACATAAATAAATTTGATACAAAATTTTCATTTTTATAAGAAAGAATTACAAGAAAATATACATGACTTCACACGATAACAAAAAAATGGCCCATGTTTTTAAGTTTTACCCCACCTAGCCCACATTGTACATATTTTGAAAGCACTAGCAAATTCAAAATCTGTGTTCTTACAACTATTGCTTCTAAAAACTATGAAGTTAAATCTGTATTATCACAATCATTATTTTCACTCTCTCTTCTCCTCACATCTTCTACATATACTTCAAGGGACCATGTATTTTCTGCTTTTCCTCTTGCGTCACCTGCTTGCAATGTAAGAAAATTGAAGAGTAGACGTCCACCATTGAAGACCATTCAAAGCTTTGCTTTTGAAAATGAGTTTTTTTTTTTAATTTGTTAGTTGTTTGGATTAGGTGTTGTTCCAATTGATTGAAAATATCAAAAAGAGTTCAAAATTTAAATTTGGAGTAGATTTTGAGCAA